TTTTTCTTACATTTTGTCGTATGACTAGTAGGTATTCATTAAAACACATAAAGATACATAAATTTTATTTATTTATTAAGGTTGCAACACGGAAAGAAAAATATGTGTAAATTACATCTGAATAAGAGTAATTTCTTCTAAAACATGCACGTGTGACAATCTTATATGTTATATTAGTGTTGTATACACAAATAACTAGACAAATATCATAACAAATATAAAATATTATAAAATCTTGCGAACATAATTATAATGACACTATCTGGGAATGTGCCTACCTTTCTAAAACGAGTTAAGCGATATTTAATATATGTATTTAAGGGTATTTTAGTTGTTGTTGTTGTTGTTTTATTTTATTTCAAATCACATTGACACTATAAAGGTCACATGGCAACTTTCCTGCTTTGCTTATGGAAGAAGATCCTGTCTATAAATTACATCAAGCAAGCACAAAATAACAACCGACTTTCCTAAAGTTTTTAACGTAAGCAAGTATATCATTATTCATATAATAAACAGTAACAAAGGTAACATTTAGTATTAATTATCAAAGAAACTGCCAATGGGTAGCATCGAAACCTGCCATCATTTAAAATGATGGTGGCCAGGCTGTATTGTCAATCGACTCACCTGCATAATGATAATGATGATAATAATAATAATAACAAAAATTTTATCTACAGATGGTTACACATTAAAACATATACATATTTGGAACATACTGTTATCAAACTGCATAATAATTAACATTTTTAGATTTGTAAAAGCTGAATGCCATCATAAAATCAACAAACAAGCCACCCGATCATTCAATAGTTATTAGCAGAAGCGACGTCGTGAAGGAACATGTGTGAAACGCGCGAAATACGCAATATGGCGTTTAGCAGCAAAACATTATAACACGTAGAAACAAATATTTATGTTATGAATAAAGCTGGTACATGAATAAAAATTGATCAAAAGTGATACAGATGTCTTTATTAAAGATTTTAGCCATTATAAAACCGTCGAGTGAAGAAGCGTCACTTATATCAATAACTTAAGTATAAGAAAAGTACTGTTTGTCTATGATCATGCGAGAGTGACGTTCCTTTTTTTTTTGAGTTCAACAATGGACTAAAAAGGTAAAACATAAAGAATAGAATACTATGTACACCTCAACACGAGTTCGAGCTTAGAAAAATGTCTCTCTTTTTTTTTCTTTTTGTTTTTTTTTCTTTTAATCATACATAAGAAGATTTCTTATATTGTCATACTGTCTAACTATTCAATGATATAAGGTATACCGGTTACAATGAATACTTGCCCAGTGTAGCACGTTGTACACAGAGCGCCAACTAAACTAAAATTAATAAGTAAAATGAGAAATATGACAATTTAACAAGTTAATATATACAGTCAACATGAATAAAAAACATATTAAATATATATATTAAAAATATACAGGCATACAAAAACAAACAAAAAAATACAAGAATTTCAATTGTGCGAAAAATGTACGGCTAAGACCGTTACATCTTGAGCAGAATTTTAACAGATAACATCCTTACCAACTGCGTAACGTCGACAGTTTGTATATATTTCGATATTTGTAAGAAATGTCACTAAGCTGATTCACTAGAGATAACTTGTATAATATGATAGGGTGTTACTTCGTAAAAGCGAACCTGACCGTCGAGTCACTCTATTATTATCCTTATCGAGCTGTAATTGTTATTGGTAAGTCTTTTACATGTTTTCAGTAGAGTGATTTTACATTTTATCTCTCTCAGAAATGTTAAAGTTAAATGATTTAAAGATTATGTTTAATGGCATAATACTATGTGATATTAGTATTTCAGTGTGTAGCATATATTGTGCGGGAAAATATCATAATATGTGCTTAATGGTCAAGAGCAATCAACAGGACATCGTTGGTTTACCCACGGTTGATAAACATGTAACTTAATAATAAAATTAATAACTGTTAATGGTTCGACCGTGGGTATCCCCACGGTGCCAACCGGATAGCACAATAGCTTGTTTGGTACATTTGTATATTGAACATTGGCAGTAATTTCAAAATTTTATTTCTAAAAAGAAAATTGTCTTTGCAACAGCCATAGATATGAACATCAGATCGAAATATTATTTTTATACCAATCAATACGGTTTAATTATTATATTTTAGATAAAATTATATTGAATTACTATCCTTTAACTACAGCCGCTAAAGAAAAAACTTATAGCCCGGTATTCATTATGGTACAGTACAGTATTGAAGGTGTATTAATAATTAGTTTTGAAGGTGAACATTAAATTAGAGCCACGTTTGAAGAAAAACGCAGTGAATCCAGTATAGCCTACCCCCTCCACATTTATGTGGTCGAGTTATTATTATCTTATAATTCATACATGATAATATAATGATTTCGATTTGATTTCGATATCATAGACTGTAAGGATTTGTCATATTCAAGCTTCAGAGTCAATCGTTGTCCCAGTCCGACTTGAAGAATGGTTTGTAATTGTAGGTCCTCGTCTATACTTCTTCCGGTTGGACAAACAGTTCGAGTACGAGCCAGAGGTAGCACTTCATTAGGTCGATATTCTTGGTTCATGGTATAACCGATGTTTCTAAAATAAATGTAAAGACTCTTATTTTGTGGTGATTTTATATTGTAATTGAAAATGAATATCAACAAAATTTATACTTGAAATGATAATACCAACTGCATTGATAAAATTTATACAACATCTTGTATGCCATTATTATAATACTTATTAGAAATCTTGTCTCTCATGTTCACATTATAATATTTCAATTTCAATTTTTTTTAAATACAAACATATTCAATAATTCTAAAGTGACAAAACTAAACATTACTCTGTTCCGTCGCAGACGTTCTTTGAGAAGTGGATGTTGCAATTTATCATATATTGTCCACCGCTGTTTACATGAATACTATTTTCTTCATACGATAAATCGCCAGTTGCCGTCTCCACTGACCAATATATGCCATCGTCTAAAGCTTAAATAAAGAGAAAACAAATGTTTAATATTACACATTTTAAATCATTTGGACAATACCTCGGCAAGTCTTGAAGATCATAACTATTAATGAGAGTTGAAACTAAATATTAAGTGTACAGTCTATTATGTTTAAAGGTTATACATAAATAAAAGCTAGAGCATATATATTGTGTGCCTCAACTATACCAGCTTTTGAAAGATAGAAAGCAATATATTCTAAGACCATGATTGTTTATCTCTGTGTTTTCAACAGTCTGTTTGAACACATGTGAAAGGAATAATTCAATTATCATAACATAACATTGCGACATTTGTCATTTGTTATTTTAAAAACGCCGTATTTTCTGAAGAAGGAGACTAAACATCGAAAGCTAAAGGAAAGCGTTTGTTTACATTGAACTGATAATATATGTATTACTATAAAAATCAAACCAACATTGTATAATAATGAAATTTACGAATCTTTGGTTTGATAATTTTCCTTTTCATGACATAGCATGTGCATGCATGTCTTTGGTAGGTATATTTCACTATTAGTTACTTACTTTTCTTAGATTCAGTGAAGCATAATGTTACAAACAAACACAAAAATGAAAAAAAACATACAGAACTGTGTACATGTATGAGAGTATAAGCAATTATTGTATACCTGTTCCAACTAAATATATAACTGAACGTCTTCTGTTCAGTATTAGGTTCAATATTTTGTTATTTTTCATAATCATTGCCCACATGATGTTCTCCTTCGGGGTGGATCCATTGGTGGTTGCGACCGCATTATCAGTTTCATTGGAGTTAAATATTTCTTTACTTAAAGCATCTGTGTCTTCTCTTACGTCAGCAATACCTGGAGGAATTGTAGAAATGCTTTATATAAAGTATATGCAATGTGTTGTTATTTCATAAATATGTTTTATAAAAACCTGGCCAGAAATGAGCTTAGTAGCATATTCAATGGCGGGTTTTTATAACTATATTTATGAAATGACAGCGATTGTAAGATTGTTTTGGTCACGCAAGAAAATAAATGATAACAAAATATATTACTTACTTGACGCCAAACCTTTAATGTCAGATGAGAACTCATTCAAGGTCTAAAATATAAGTATATTCAAAAGTGTTAAATTGCTGCAACATACCAGTTTTTTTAAATAGTCAGATTAGTAATCAGTTACAATCTTTATATCATAACTAAACAAATGTCTTTATTCTATACGCTTTCGATTTCTTTAATTTCGCTTTCGATTTCTTTAATAACGTTGAAATATTATTTTGCTGAAAATTTGTCAATGGTATCGCTCAATGCAGTCTATTATTTTAAAGTTAAATTCAACCTTAAATAAAAAGTTTCGTTCGCTCACTTATGAAAATGTTTAAACAACTAGAAATCAATGGAACACTTTTCAGGGATTACATTTTACGCAATGTGCATATCTAATTAATATTAATGTACATGACCTTCAAAATCACACATACAAACAACTGTAATTGCGATAACTCCTCTGTCAATCGTGATAGTGAAATTTTATCGTAAACAGTAGGACGAACATGCATAAATGAAACAAAGTCTATAAATACCTTCATATTTGTTAAACTTATAAGCTGAATCAGGTTTGAGATGTCTTTCAAGCAGCATTTGTTTGTTTCAATCGTTTCAAAGAATAGATGCTCCATACCACGAACAGATTCGCATGCAGTGCAGAAAATGTGTTCTTTCACGATTTTTCCGGAATCTTTTGAGAGAAGATTTTGCAGAAAAGTCTTGTCATCCTGACTTATCGTTTGCATGTTCAAGGACAGGTCGTTGTCTGCTTTTCTCTTATCATATGCCAAGTGTTCTCGGACGATGGTGAAAACAAGAGTACACATAAATAATATGTTCACGCATGACAGAAACTTAGTCCATGCTTTTAAACCTTTCACCTGACTCAAAAGACTCTGATACTTTTTAGACATCAAAGTGTCTGACGGATTTACTGGAACTTTTCCGTCGTCTACTTGAACGATAAGAGTTTCCGACGGCTGTGGGATTTGGACACTGTCGTCTTGTTCTGCAGTAAGACACTCATTTTTGGTAAGTTTATCCGTCTTCCAGAAACACCTTGATTTCATTTTCATTTATTTCACCTACGGAAATAAGAATGGTAATGCATATCAAGCCTTGACGTCAATAGAACTGTAAAATACCTATTTACAAGTTTGCAACTAATCATATACTTGCTGACTGTGTGGTAAATCAAGACGAAAATGATGTGATAGGAATTCAACTTTGATTTAAAGCATAAACACGTTTTTTAAGTTCTAACCGTTCAACAGAAATTCTTGCGACACTTTTTATATAGGGTTCTCAATGATTTTGGTAAGAATTCGTAGCTTTGCCCACAAAAACATATTATGTTTATCACAAAACAATGTCTTATTTGTAGGTCTAAGTCTGATCCATAACTTTAATTCCCAACAGATGAAAGAAGAAATTGTTAAGAAGCGGCATAAAACGTTTTATGGTAAAAAAACAAAATAATGTATACAACAGTTAATAACACTGTAAATATATTCTGAAAACAGAAAGGTCTGGGTCGTAGTCGATGTCACAAATTTGTCAAAATTTCAAGATTTCAAGATTTTATTCAAAACCAAGGCATACTTTTTTGGATAAGGTTATGATAGATTAACAATATAATGAACGATTATTCCAAAGTGATTAACAAAACACATATATATAAATTTGTATAATAATGAGAACAATTTAACACACATATTACACAGTTTGGACAGGATAAATGCTATCTAAATTATTAATATGCTAATGCACTAATACACTCATACAGGACGAGGTTAAACAAGAATGTCGAACGACACATATACCCCCCTTTCTAGCAATTGACTCACATAATTGGTAATTTTATTAGACAGAAACTTGCCAAAAATGGGTACATGTAAGTGTTCAATTATGAAAAAATCAACAGAAACCATTTGGACATTTAAGGCCCATGTGACATTGACCTTTGACCTAATGACCCCCAAATCGTTAGAGGTCATCTACTACTTATGACCAATAACTAGGTGAAATATGAAGACTTTGTGATACATACTTTTCAAGATAATCAGCGGAAACCCTTTTGACATGTAAGGCCCCTGTGACCTTGACCTTTGACCTAGTGACCCCAAAATAAATAGGTGTCATCTACTAGTTATGACCAATCACTATGTGAAATATGAAGACTTTGTGACAAATACTTTTCAAGATAATCAGCGGAAACCATTTTGACATTTTAAGGTCCCTGTGACCTTGACCTTTGACCTAGTGACCCCAAAATCAATAGGGGTCATCTACTAGTGATGACCAATCACTATGTGAAATATGAAGACTTTGTGATACATACTTTTCAAGATGATCAGCGGAAACCCTTTTGACATTTAAGGCCCCTGTGACCTTGACCTTTGACCTAGTAACCCCAAAATCAATAGGGGTCATCTACAAGTGATGACCAATCACTATGTGAAATATGAAGACTTTGTGATACATACTTTTCAAGATAATCAGCGGAAACCATTTTGACATTTAAAGCCCCTGTGACCTTGACCTTTGACCTAGTGACCCCAAAATCAATAGAAGTCATCTACTAGTTATGACCAATCACTGTGTGAAATATGAAGACTTTGTGATACATACTTTTCAAGATAATCAGCGAAAACCATTTTGACATTTAAGGTCCCTGTGACCTTGACCTTTGACCTAGTGACCCCAAAATCAATAGGGGTCATCTACTAGTGATGACCAATCACTATGTGAAATATGAAGACTTTGTGATACATACTTTTCAAGATAATCAGCGGAAACCATTTTGACATTTAAGGTCCCTGTGACCTTGACCTTTGACCTAGTAACATCAAAATCAATAGGGGTCATCTACTAGTTATGACCAATCACTATGTGAAATATGAAGACTTTGTGATAAATACTTTTCAAGATAATCAGCGGAAACCATTTTGACATTTAAGGTCCCTGTGACCTTGACCTTTGACCTTGTAACCCTTAAATCAATAGGGGTCATCTACTAGTTATGAACAATCACTATGTGAAATATGAAGACCTTGTGATAAACACTTTTTAAGATAATCAGCGGAAACCATGTGGTCTACCGACGGACAGACCGTCGGACCGACAGACAGACAGACCGACATTAGCAAAACAATGTACCCCCTGTTCTTCGAAGGGGGGCATAAAAATCACGCCATACAGGAGAATGAGTAATTTGAATTTATAAAAAAATAATAATCTTGCAGAATTATGCAAGTTTTATTTAAGTTGAATTTTTAAAGAACCCAGTGCATTAATTAAGCAGATTTATATTTTATCCTTAACATTTTCAATGTCAAAAAACATAATAAAAGACAATCTATTGAAATATATAGTCAATATAGGTCAACTTGAGAATGAAAAAAACATAACGTCACTTTAATTAAACACACTAGCATCAAAAAAGCTTAGAACTTAAATGAGAAACTTACCTGTAATAAAATTGATGAATATTAATCCAAGTCAACAAAGCGGTCGTTAAGATAGTGTGTTAACTTTCTTTTTCAATTCCTAAAAAACGGGTTATAAATTAACCTAGTTTCGTTATAAATAAACCGTTCTATGGTGGCTGATTTACACCATCTGTCTTAATACACGATCCTAACGTTTACATTATTCGGTCGTTCAATTTAAATATATATTTGCGCAATGTAATTAATTATTAAATTATAACCCTTAAACATCTGGAAGCTAAGTGGTTTATTTTTGTTCAATGAGATGGTAGTATTTTTCAAATTTTGAGTAAATCAGCTTGAAACACCCAGTGCTACTAACCAGGTAAATCGAACGAACTGATTAACCGACGCTATTCCGCAGGGGATGTGCCCCCTTCTGTTTGGGGGGTTTGAAGAGGGGCGGTAGTCCCCCTCATCGCCAAGAAAATTTTGGACTTGCGAGAGGCTAAAAATAACCCCAAGTCGATCATAAGGTAACGTGTAACAAACGCTGAAAAGCCTTTGACTCTATCTCAATCCCTTGAGAAGTTGCAGCACTTTGCAATATATTTTGATGAAAAAAGTCAAGGCAAAATAGTGATTTATGGCAATTTTGAGATGCCCCATGTTGCCATGGTAACAGGAAATTTTAGACAGAGCATGTCGTTAAAAAGGCAATGGTCCAATCAACATTTGTGCCAAGTTTGATTAGTATTGAAACATTTTTCAAAGTTTCATAGCAGTTTGAACTTGTAACAGGAGGCTTTTCAATGAAAACGGCCATTTTTCACAATATGCTCATGAGGGAAAGGGTTACATGTTTATATGAACTGTTCGTTATTATGCATGTTTTATGCCCTCATCGGCTTTAAAGCCAAATGGAATAAAATAAAATGTCTACTGTCTACTATATAAATAAAAAAAACTGTGAGGCTATGTCGCGTAATTATATCTGACGCCATAGTGGCACAACGTCACGCTAAATGGTAGCGTTTCAATATTAACCGCCCGTCTAATAAACATAATTTTTTTTATTTACTAAATTCAATAAAGCTTTTCGCATAACATTATTTTCTAACTCGTTCAATAAAGTCATTATAGAACCTACATTCATTCATTTTTCTCTGTTATGTATTTTTCTTTCAATGAGCGACCATATTGAATAAACACAGGCTTATCTCAACTGGGTGTAAGCTAGTCGCAATCAATTTTCGTTTTGTAAATGTTGACGGGTTCAAATATTAAGATTTCCTTATCAGAAATTTGTTAGGAATGATTTGGAAAAGAAAATATATCAAGCCGTCCGTACCTTTTTAACATTTTTGCTCTGCTGAATGCGTTTCTTCTTTCCAATTAGGGGATAAGACCATAATTATCGCACAACACTGGCGAAATTTAATGTAAAGACAACACTACACAAATGTTTCCTGAAAGTGGAGGCTTTTCTTTCCATTCTGCATTTTATACAAAATATTCTCAAACTATACACGTGTGTTTTAATTGGTATATTAACAACGGATATCTATTATGCCACCAGCTAGAAAGATATTTATTTCCGATGGTACAGCATTGTTCAATTAATTATTTCTGACCTGACCAACATTTTTTTCAGATATCTATCATTTCCTACATAAAAATAATTCATTATCAGCTGATTGGACAAATGGAAATCCACCAAGTAGTAAAATTCGCCGTACGTTATCATTGATATTTTGTGCGCCATACGTTATCATTTCCGGAAAAAGCCCCGATATTAATATTTACAGCAGTAAATCTAGCCAGAATTGGCATGATTGCTTACTTGACAACATATTACAACTTTTTTTAGTCAGTGGTTTCAGTTAATATACATATATGTAAAAGAAACAGGGAATTTGAGAGAAAAAGCCGTACGTTACCACGGTCAAACCGGTGGAAAATTCTCTCGCTTCGAATCTGGTGACGCGCATTTCAGATGAAGTACGGGACGAAACATCATGAAATAAAATCCTGTGTGCCAGGAAAATTGTGTAGAAGGTTGTTATATGTACCTTTACATTAGAACATCACGAATTTCGGAGAAAAAAGGGGAAAACCTACTTTTTGGCTGCATCCGCCATCTTGTTTGTTTGGGTAACGAACGGCGTGATTCTCCCCCTTGATAATATAACATTACATAACATAACATAACATATTCTTTATTTGGCATAAAATGACAATATACATTTATAGCCAATACAGTAAACAATCATGTAATGTAAGAATATGATATACAATATAAATACCTTAACGAATTTTAATGTTTTACAGAGAAAGTTCTTGTTGCTACAAAATTTGAATAAATTTAAGTTCCTGTTATCTTGCAATAGAAGAACATCATTAATAATATAAAGACCTTGACAAAGTTGAAATGTTGTACAGAAAGAAGTTCTTGGTGCTACAAAACTTGAATAAACTTAAGATGCTAACTGTTGTCATTTCTTTCTTAAAATGGAAAATACAAAAATTTTGACAAGATACTAACTGTTGTCAGTTCTTTCTTTAAATGAAAAATTCAAAACATTTTGATAAGTGAATAATATTAGCTTCTTTGTATTGATCGGATATTTGAGAGGTAATTTCCCATTCGGAACTGCCTCGGCTATTATCTATAATAACCTCGGAAACAATACAGAGTGAAAATAGTTCTACCACGTGGTTTCAGGTGTAAACATAAAGACAGAGGTGTATTTCACGAATGCACATATAATTGACATCAAAAGAAAATTCTGTTTCGGTACAATTATGATTGAAAATATATCTGACAAAATATGCCCACTAATGTACAATTTTAACTAAATGCGACTGAATGTCAACAGGTTGGCATTTTTTACTTTCGGTTTCAACAACCATAATACTAAAGAGAATGTTTCTTATTTCTGTAGAACAGCTACGAATGGATACTCATACTAAGGGGCAAATTTATATTCATTTACTTATGTCAGCTTTATTAAACATTTACCTGAATTTATTTTGGAAAACATTTATGAGTTGTACTCAGTAGCTAATATATCCGATATTATTTATAAATACACACAAATACACTAAATGGCATGTGTAAACACGAGGTTACGTAATGTATTTTCCAAAAACATTATGTTTACTTTTACTTTCTGTCTACCGAGAAAGAAAGTAAATCGACACATAGTAAAAAAATCGGGAAACAAAGTGATCCCTTGGAAGCATTAATCACAACAATATTACACGAGAATTGCAGACTCGGTTTGATTGAGTCTGTACATGAGGGATAATGAATAAGTGCAACATCCCTCACGCCCCCTAGCACCGGCTTGAGCGGTACTCAATTCTCAACACTTAATAGTGCTGGCATCAAGACCTTTTCCATAAATTTGTAATCAAATATTAATAGATATTTTCTATTGTTTTTTACACGTGCAGTATCTTTTTCTTTAAATCTGAACTGCGTGTATATCCTTTATCCATAAATGCAAAATTAATGTTAAAAAAACGGCCCATGAAAGCGCATTTGCAAATTTATGCAAATGACTTTATTTACAAACACAGTTCTATAAAGCACTATTGAAAATAGCAGGCGACTATGAACGGCCGACTTTTGTTCTTCAATATTTTGAAGAAATACAGCGCTTCCATTGGATGACAAATAAAGTTTGTCACTACTGTCCTAGGATGATAATTTGGTCTTAACGGTACATGGGAAAGTCCAAAAACGGGGTTATCTGGATTATTATCCGATATCGTAAAAGTAAACACTTACATATACTATATAGCATTATTCTTACAGACTCGTTGGTGTATTACCGTTATGGCTCTGCCGGTAGATCGGAGTAATTGTAACTTTTGGTGTTTTGTACTCATAGGTTCGAACCCAACTTAGTGCCATTTAATAACCACAGTTTTTTCTCCTTACACTATTTTTATCATTATTATTTAATCATTTTTCGTTTTCCTTTTTGTTTTCTTCTTATAATATATATTTTATAGTATATATTTATTTTTTTTATTTTCATTCTATTTTTTTTTGTATTTTTTGATCGCAGTGTAATAAAATATTCGATCTCATATTCATGTATGTATATGAAAAACCCGGTCAAACTTGTTTTCTGAACAAGTGACTGTTCTAAGGTAAAAAAAACAATGTCTTACCAGTAGTCGAACTTCTGCCTGTACGGGTAAAACACATTACTGACACGGTTGCTTTACCTACTGCGCTAACAAGACATATGATAACATGCAGTTTTATTTTCATTTTTATAGGATGTGGCATTGATCTGCCTAACCTATTTTTCGCATTGTTATTGGTCTTTGTTATGTAAACAAAGGCTCAAGTTATCATCCTACGACAGTAAGTACATAATTTATGTAAACACTAACTAGTATTGAATATTATATTCAAGGTCGTCCGAGATAGCGTTGTTTCTAAAAATAACTCGTTAACTTAAAAAAATCGGTTATCGTACCTACGGTAGCGTGTTAGTGTCATATCGACACATATTTTATTCTATTTTCCATATTTTACATTGTTAAATTTAAACTTTTTATATGCTAGTGTTCATCCGTGCTGTTCTACAGAAATTAGAAACTTCGACGGGAGCGATAGCGACAGGAGAATGTTACTAATTTCAGTAGAACAGCTACGGATGAGTACTCACATACCTTGTGTCAAAGTCCGCTTTATATTAACAATAACCTAAATGTTGGGTTAAATTTGACCTTATAAAAATGCATGATTTTAGGTCACTTTTCGCGCGAAGACGCGTGTACCCTTGTGTGGCTGATGCAAGTTTTCATTTGCTCGATATTAAAATATTTATTTATTTCCAACAAACATTTTTGATGAGTTGGACATTTGATATTCAGTACCTAATATCTGATATGATTAATACATGTAAACACTAAATGTCATGTGTTAACACGAAGTCTCGTTATGTATTTTTCTAAAACATATAATGTCTACTTTCACTTTCTGTCTACCGAAAAAAAAGAACGTAAATAGTTTCTCTTAGTAGATGTGTGAAGTTGGCGGCCTAGCGGCCTGGCGGCCTGGCGGCGTGAAGTTGGCGGCCTAGCGGCCTAGCGGCCTGGCGGCGTGAAGTTGGCGGCCTAGCGGCCTGGCGGCCCAGCGGCGTGAAGT